TTTCATCATAGTTAAATTTATAATTCCTTTTTTGACGAGTATATTTCAGAATTGTGTTTGGGTTTAGATTATAAATACTCAGCTTGGCACAAGTAAGACTCAAAGTTTCCTAGGAAGTTGTTACTGACAAGTAGATGGCACTCGTAAAGGTCACTAAGTTTAATATATGAACATAATTTATCGTAACCATCTATTTCCAGATGTGATGAAGAAGCAGTAGCCAAAGCTCAAGCCCAAAAGGCACTGAGGGAAATGGAGAGTCAAATGATAGATTTACAGGAAGACCTGGATACCGAGAAGGTAGCAAGAACAAAGGCAGAGAAAGAAAAGAGAGACCTGAATGAAGTACGTGTTAATGTTTCTTGTTAGGTATATGTAAATATTTAATAACGAAACAGATGTTGTTGTTTTTGTCCTTTTATTATTGGTATTTAATGTGTTTGTATACTCTAATAGACTAATTTGTTTTATAAACATGTACAAATGATATTCTTGTAAAACAACGTTTGTGAACTAAATTGTATTTAAAAAAACTGTTACACTGATTGGATGTTTTTCATCTGATCTCTTGATGGCAGTTGTTCAGGAAAGAAGTTTTTGAGTTTGTACTTTACTTTTGATTTCCTCCTCAGGAACTGGAAGCCCTTAAAAATGAGCTTCTGGATTCATTAGGCACTACGGCTACGCAGCAGGAACTGCGAACAAAGAGAGAGCAAGAGGTAGCGATGTTGAAGAAGACTATCGAGGATGAAGTTACCACACATGCCACTCACTTAGCCGACTTACGACAAAAGCACAACCAAGTTATCCAGGATTTAAATGAACAGCTGGAAACACTCAAAAAGGTGAATCTTCACTGTGGTTACTTCACATGAAGGACACGAGTGGTTTTACTCAGACTCCATAAGTTGTGTTTTCTATTGAGTTATTTATTGTTGGTCAACTTGATGAACTTTTCTTACAGGTTAATTCTGGTGCATTAAATCTTCTCAGGTGTATTTAATTAATTCTTGTCTCAATAAAGATATTTGTAACCGGTCATCTTAGTTGAAGTCTGTATAGGAGTAACACTTTAGTGTTTCGATAAAGATATTTGTAACCGGTCATCTTAGTTGAAGTCTGTATAGGAGTAACACTTTAATGTTTTGATAAAGATATTTGTAACCGGTCATCTTAGTTGAAGTCTGTATAGGAGTAACACTTTAGTAATATTCACCATTTCACTCCTCTCAGTTAGTATGTCTTTTTTCAATTGTAGATTAATAAAAAATGTAAATATATATTTTATTGTTTTGCAAACAGTTTGGAAGTTAGATGTTTCTGTTAAATTTAACGTCCTTAGTCCAGTTACTGTAATAATGTTCAGTGGAATTGAATTACCTTTCCAGAAAATATAGCATTAAGCAGATAAAAGATACATAAGAAACAGATTACTCAAAACAAAATTATTCATTATTTTCAATAGGCAAAAGCAGGATTAGAAAAAGTAAGGGCCAATTTAGAAATGGAAAATTCCAATGTTACCGCTGAATTAAAGACTCTTTTAGCAGCTCGACAGGAGTCAGAGCGTAAAAGGAAACAGCTGGAAAGTCTTGTGCAAGAAATGGGAACAAAAGTAGCGGACCTAGAGAGAAATAAAGCTGAAGCTATCGACCGTGCTCAGAAACTTCAGGTGAAACCTCAAACTCTTTGGTATTAAAATAAGTGTAAAACGTTGGGGTATTCTTGATAACTCTGGAGACCAGCACTTTATCTACTGAAATTAGTTATTCTTATGTGAAACGGTCATCAAGTCGTGCATCGTAAAGGTGTTTGACCGTACTTCTACTCCACGATAAAATATGGTTCTTTAAAAAAAAATAGATTCCGTAATGCAGATGTTGTAAATTTGAATAAAATTTTGGTAACATATTATCAAGAAATATTTCAAAATAAAGATATTAATTACTGTTAAGTTTTGCTCAGTACTAAATGTTTGTGAAAAAATTCTCTTTGTTCTTAAAAAAAAAAAAGTGAAAGCATTATACATTTGCTATCAGAGAACATGTCATAAAAATTGTGAGGTTAGACACATGATGGAAGATATTGAAGGTTAAAGATAAGCAAACTCAATTTCACTGGTACATAGTAAACGTTTTTGTGACACAAGTAATTTGGGGGTCAAATCTTTAAATACGCGATATTTGTGTGCAATTCATTGCACGTAATTCTAATAGGTTGATGTGCAGTTCTAAATTAGGTAATGTGTGTTTTAGAAATTATAATTTCTGTCATCCTAATAAATAAAATAACTCTTGGTTGTGGGCGGAGCCTCCCAATTAACGTGCTGCTCAGCATCTTTTTCAGAACCAATCACAGGACCAGACACAACACAAATCATACTAGGAGCAAATCGTGGTGCAGAAGTTACATTAGTATAGCCAAGCTTTTCTTTAATTAAGTTGTACTACAACACATCTTAAAAGCAAAACTTGCTGACTGTTTAGTTATGAAAAACCTTAAACCCTCACATTACCAATCTTGTTGTTTTTTTTCATACGCCACTGGTGAGACCCAGATATTGTATCATATTGAGAGTCATTTTTATGTTTTTGACTCTTAAAAAAACTGATATAAACAAAATGGATGAAATCAATCATTTTGAGTAAACTCCAGTGGGATTAATTGTGATATCGACGGTATTTTTGTTGTATTTGTTTTTGTGTGATTCGTATGTTAGTAGAGACCCTGTCCTGGGTCCACAAGTGATGCGGCATTCAAACAGTTTAGAAAGATGTCCCTTAAAAATATTATGGGTTGATTGAACCCCAACAATCATTCTGAGGTTAATATTGGCTTTACATGATGCAGAAGAAAGTTAAGAGGTGAAAGTTGTGTAGGTTAACACATCTATGTCAAGAAAAAAAAAAAAGTGGAGGGTAAAAGACATAAGATTATCGGATGCTGTTGTGGAAGGAATTATGAAATCAGTGTGTCTGTAAGGTTACTAAAGGAAACAAGAAAACCAAATATTATTTGCCAAAATAGAATAATCCAGCTTATTAAGTTATAATAAAGTGAAACATATGACAGAGACTGTACCAAGTTACGTTTTATCATGACAACAACAAAAATGTCATAAACATATAGTTTCAAATGGATAGTCTGTAACTAAAGTATGT